GATTCATAATTTTGTTTTTCATTTGTTGTTAACGACGTTTCTCTCTTCGCAATCGCATTATTTCGTCTTCGCAGTACATATATTATGAATCCATAGTACAGAAATTATGAATCTACAGTATAGAAATTATGAATCTACAGTATAGAAATTACGAATCTAGAAATTATGAATCTACAATATAGATATTATGAATCTACAGTATAGAAATTATGAATCTACAACTTAGAAATTATGGATCTATCTCATGTTCACCATGCGCATGGTGAACAATATTCCACGACATAACTATTGCTTGTTGGCACAAACCACTTATCCTCTCATATATTAGGCCGTTGAGTCATCTTAATTTACCACCTCCACACAGGGCCGGTTTTAGATTTTTGTGGCCCTGTTCGGATAAATAAATAAGGCCCTACCAAAATTAAAATCTATAAAACTAATACCGTAATTTTATAATCTAAATATATAACCAAAAAAATTATCCGAGGGGTGCATCGCACGCGCACTGCACGGATAATTGGGCAATTATTTGCTCGAATTTAAGCAAGGATAACATTAAAAAACATAATCGATACAACCCATTTCATCAATTACACTATATAATATTCGTTGTTATAATTTAAAGATTATAACAAATCTTTTCCGTGCAACGCATAGGTAAAAGTAGACATATTATGGAATAATAATAATAGTGTGCACAAGTTTTGAACCTTAGACCTCAAATAAAACACAATAAATACATGTTCCTACCATTTCTTTATAAAGCACTTTAAGTTTAATTAAAAAATTTTAATTTTTATTTCTAAACTAACTAGGTAAAAATAAAATATTGAACTTCTAAAATTTTGGGCCCCTTTAAAATTTGGAGCTCTGTGCGGTAACCCAACTTGCAATGCCCAAAATCCGGACATGTCCTCTTCCTCCCCTCCCCCGCCAACTTGGGGATCATTTTATCTCTCGTTGTTTTGGCTGTCAGGCTATTGTATAGTTAACCCGGCAGGCTGTCTACCTAATAAAATGAAAGAAAATTTTACCATTCACGGCCTTTGGCCACAAACTACTCAACAATCAAGTGCACCGGCATATGATGATGGATTGGTAAATATATTATTATTATTATTATTATTATTATTATTATTATTATTATTATTATTATTATTATTAACACAGTAATTTAAAAAAAAAAATTGACATTTACAGATTAATCAAGACTCGCAGAACAGATTAGACATCTACTGGCAAAACCTTGAAATGGATCCCAATTATTTGTTCTGCAAACACGAATGGAATAAACATGGGAAGATTTCAAATAGTCTAATAGGTGAAGTAGACTATTTTGAAAGAACGATACAATTATACCTTGCAACGAATGTGACAACTATTCTTGCAAATTATCATATTTTACCATCTGACAATTCTCACACCACCCTTGCAAGTGTTTTGCAGGCTTTCGGGAGTACTATTCCAATTGTCGTATGCGTCCAAGATTTCATTACTAATAGAATGTATATAACATAAATTAGGCTTTGCTATGATGCAACTGCATTTAATTTAATGTCATATACTCAAGCCCAATTGTCATGCGATTCCAGCACGCAAGGCCGGTTTTTAAATTTTTGTGGCCCTGTTCGGGTAAATAAATAAGGCCCTACTAAAATTAAAATCTTTAAAATTAATACCGTAATTTTATTATTTAAATATATAACAAAAAAAAAATTATACATTGCACGCGCATTGCACGGATAATTGGGCAATTATTTGCTCGAATTCAAACAATGATAACATTAAAAAAACATAATTGATACAACCCATTTCATCAATTGCACTATATAATATTCGTTGTTACAATTGCACTATATAATATTCGTTGTTATAATTTAAAGATTATAACAAATCTTTTCCGTGCAACGCACACGTAAAAATATACATATTATGGAATAATAATAATAGTGTGCACAAGTTTTGAACCTTAGACCCCAAAGTAAAAATACAATAAATACATGTTCCTACCATTTCTTTATAAAGCATTCTAAGTTTAATTTTAAAAAAAAAAATTATTTTTATTTCTAAACTCACTAGGTAAAAATAAAATATTGAGCTTCTAAAATCACGGCTGGAAAATAGCGAATTTTCGACCACTTTTCCGACCACAACAAAAAAGGGTCGGTAAAAGTGACATTTTCTCATTTTTCCGGCGAATGTATGCCCTGGTCCGAGAGTGGTCGGAAATTCCGACCACAATCTGTTGGTGGTCGGAAATTCCGACCCCCCAGCTGTGGGTGGTCGGAAAGTGTTTGGGAGTTTAAATTTTAAACTCCTTTTTCCCGACCACGAACAAAGGTGGTCGGAAATACCGTTATCTCTGCAGATTTCTAGACCATTTTTTACTTATTTTTAAATCTCTTTTTACTCATTTTTTCATTGTTGCAGGTTTTCTATCAGCATATCTTCCATCATATTGTTAAAATCAAGTTATAGTACATCATATTAAGCTAAGGTATGTGTGTATATTCTTAGATCTACCTTTTAATAAGACTTTTTTTTTAAAGATCTAGCTTTAATTTTTAAAAATATATTTTTGTGAATACTTATTTAGATTATTTATTTTATGTATGAATAATGTGTAGTGTGCATATATGTATGGGTTGATTACAGTATATTTTCAAACAAATAATTACCCAGAGTATCGGATTATCGATCCATAGGGAAGCGGGGCGTATCAATCACTAGTTAATAATTTATTTTTGTGAAGCTAATCCTAACGAAAATCATAGATGGTTGTTTAATCATAAAACTAATTAAAATAGCAAAGTAGCAGATTTGTGAAAACAATAGAGAGAGAATGAGATTCATGGGATTCAAGATTTAATCACATAGTACCAACCTTATGCACAATATTAAAATTGGGTTTAAACAAGTGTGAGAATGCAAAGATGGTATAGAGTTACTCCTGTAATCTCTAACCCTAGTGAATATTCACTCCCGTGATATAAATACCCAAAAATATAAGAACAAGCATTCATAACAAATCTCTAACTACTACGTACCATCTCCCGATGTGCAATAATCAATAATTAAACTCCTCAACTAAATTGCCCTCCCCCAAGGTGCAACGATTAAATGCAATCGTGTGTACTCTCAGTTATGTCTAACTCTCGTTATGACATAAATAAAGCTATGAAACAAGTAATTACGGTTGTTAACTACTAGCAACAAACAATATAATCACAATTGCAACACAAGTAGAAAACTCAAATATTAATATATTATAAATTAGAGAAAATTACACTTTTGGTCCTGCGACTATAATGGGCGTGTTAATTTCAGCACTCGACTTTAAAAACTAATAATTTAGCCCCGTAACTATACGATTTTTAACACAATTGATCCTCCCGACCAAATCACTGGCCAAATGTCGCCGAAAAAATGTAAATCTGTTTAAATTATTTACTCATTGGGGCAAAATGGTCATTTTCTTCTTCCCCTTCCTTCACATATTGGCCGGAATTGCAGCTAGACACCTGGATTTGTTCTCGTCGTTTCTCCCACCATCGCCGCCGCCACCCTCCGCCTTTTCTTCCATAACTGCTTCGTCGACAAACTCCCAGAATTTGGACTAGATTTTTCTAAAGCGATTGACAAACCGATGATTCCGGCACCGATTATCACAACATCAAAGGAGCTGGGCGCGGAACTCTGCTTCGAACCGGCAACACAAAGCGACACGTATCCAGTCCTCCGAGTTTTCTCGGTTGAAGTCAAAAATAAGAGCGGTTCATAATCGACGGCAAGTTTGTGTCCAAACAAGTTTGAATTCGAAGGTACAAGACAAGACCGTAGAATCTTATTTCGAGGAACCAAATAGACGCCATTACGGTTATGTTTGACGCCATTACTGTTATGTGATTTTGAAAAATTCAGTCCAAATTCTGGGAGTTTGTCAAGCCCGCCTCTGCCTCCGCTGGACTACCTCGCTGGAAGCCAAGCTCGACTCCGACTCTATTGATTTATTAGAATTTAGATATCATAACATGCATATTAGACTACAATTTTAATAATTTTGTCGTTCTGTGTAGTCCATTGATAAATGAAAAGAAGACTAGATCTGTACTTTAAAGTACAAATCCAGGTGCGTGTGTTTCTTCGCTCATAATTGTCATTTTTCTAGGTGGCGGAGCATTCAATTCTGAAACAGGTGCAAGGAAGGAGAAGAATGACCATTTTGCCCCCATAAATAAATAATTTAAAAGATTTATTTTTTTCCGGCGATATTTGGCCGGATGGACCAAATGTGTTAGAAATTAAATAGTTACAGGACTAAGTTGTTAGTGTTTAAAATTGAGTACTGAAATTAACAAGACTTCAATAGTTTAAGGACCAAAAATGTAATTTTTTCTTATGAATTATAAGAACTAGACACAAATGTTCATAAAATACTTTAACCCAAGAATCTCTAAGGTGTTTAGCTGAGCATGACTAAATTAGACTTCATAATAAAAATAAAGAGATTACAAATAATGGAAGAGTACAAGAATTAATTAACCAAGCAAAAAAAAAAAAAAAAAATCATAATGCAAAATGTACGAAAATTTCACCCTAGTTTATTAAAATTGGGCGCCATTCTGAATTTAGCCTCAATTTTTTCGCCAATCTTCATTCTCCCTCCACTCCACTTCTCCCTCCACTCCACTTCTCCCTCCTATCCCCAATCTCCCATTCTAAATTTTTTCCCCAAAATTTTGTCAACCCTTCACTCCCCCATGTCCCATTCTCAGACTTTGCCCACAATTTTACCCCAATTTTTTGACTTCCTGCTTCTATCTCTCATTCGGCCTTCCTCCTTCACGCCTCCGGCACCGTTAGAAACGCAGGACCCACCAACGGCAGCAACCCACCGGCACCATCACCTTCATTAGCAAACCACCAGCACCGCCGTCCTTCACGTAAGCCATGTTTTTGTTTTTGTTTTTTATTTTCGGCTGTTTTTGTTATCGAGTGGGTATCTTGTTCATCTATTGTCAAGATGATGCTTTAGATTGAGGAACGATGATGCTTTAGATTATGTTCTGAACTTCTGATAAGGAAATTTCTCAGTATTCTCCAAAATTATTTGCATGCATTTAGCTTTACTTGCTTTTAATATTGTAACATATTTGTTGTCTGTTTTGTGCTTCTGTGGCCATTGTGTGTGAATAAAACAAAGGAAAACAATTCTCGGTAGTTAAATCATACTGAGTATAAAGTTAGAATGCATAGAAGAACAAGTCCAGTTGCTAAGTATATGACATTTTTCATGAGTTGCTCACACAGATATTTGCTGAAACATTAAATTAAACCAGACAGAAGAGTATTGGTTTGATTATTTATCTTACACCACCAATTTTCTTGGTCTTCAATGATGAAAGGAGAAAATAACAGGTGCTTGAATTCAGAGCTATGGCATGCAGGTGCTGGTCCTCGGGTGTGTCTTCCAATAGTGGGGAACCGTGTGGTTTACTTCCCTCAGGGTCATAGTGAGCAGGTCCCATTTTGTCTAGCCGTTGTTGCTTTCTTGTTCACAATAATATATGTAGGAGATAGATGATGCCAGTTGTTATATTAATTTAGATAACTGGATGGTCCTGTGCTGAATTGATTGGCAGGTTTCAGCCACTACTAATAAAGAAGTTGATGCTCACATACCCAATTACCCAAATCTGCCTCCACAGTTTATCTGCCAACTTCATAATGTTACAATGCATGTAGGTTTTATTATATTCCTTCAATGATATCTTTCTTAGCTCTTTATAAATGAATGTACTTTGCTCAGTTTGGTGTTGATGTTCTATTAAGCCTAATAAAGAGTTGTTAATTTGTGGACTTTCAGGCAGATGTTGGAACAGATGAAGTGTATGCTCAATTGACATTGCAGCCCCTGACTCTAGTACTTATTCATCTTAAAACTCTTTCTTAGCTACCAAGAGGGTTCTTTCTCTAGAGTGGGTGGCTAAAATTGTTTTTTTTTTTTTTTTTTTTTTTTTTTTTTTTTTTTTTTTTTTATTTCTGTTTTTCAGCAAGAACAAAAATATGCATATCTTCCTCGCTGTAGAGAAAGTTTTTCCCGCCCCTGGTAATAACTGCTTTAGTACCCTATTCTCACAGCAGTTTTTTTTTTCTAACGGCGCGATGACATTTTCACTTTTGTATTGCTTCCTTCAGGATTTCACACAGAGACCACCTGCCCAAGAACTCATTGCAAGGGATCTGCATGATGTTGAATGGACACAAAAAGTTTTGAAAAAATTTAAAACTAATGGGAAGAAGAGTTTTTGTGATTGAGTGAGATAGTGGATGTTGGGGCCCACAAAAATGGGGAAGAACCCCCCCCCCCCCAACTATTGATGCCCTAATAGATAGATGTATATATTATATTAAAAGAGTTAATACCCATTTTGGTCCTTTGACTATTAGATAATACGCAATTTAGTCCCAACCTATTAAAAGTATCCAATTTAGTCATCTAACTTGTAAAATCATACACAATTTGGTCATCCGTTACAATTGTCATATATCCACCGTTATAGAGAGGGACAAAAATGTTATTTTATCTATAGTCGAGGGACCAAAATGGGTTTTATCTATAGTCTAGGGACAATACCCATTTTGGTCCCTCAACTATAGATAAAACCCATTTTGGTCCTTCGACTATAGATAAAATGACCTTTATGCCCCACTCTATAAAGGTTGATGGATGATAATTGTAACGGAAGACTAAATTGGGTATGATTTTACAAGTTATAGGACTAAATTGAATACTTTTAATATGTTGGGACTAAATTGCGTATTACCTAATAGTCGAGGGACCAAAATGGCTATTAACTCTATATTAAAATTTTATAAATTAATTAATGGGAAAAGGGTCAAATAGGCCTTAAACATTATTCAAAAAGTCAATTAGGTTCTTAAACTTTCAAAGGTTGCAGTTAAGCCTTTAAACATATTATTTTAGAGCATTATATTGAGACCCAAAAATTAGTTAGTGTCCGGTAATTACAAGTCACTAGGGTTCCAGCAAATCTCCGGCGAGATTCCACCATATTCCGGCAAAAAACACCGGCAAAATGGTCGTCGATGTTGTTCGGTTGCCTTCTCCGGCGAAACCAGTTGATCTGCCTTCTCCTTTGTCGGAGAAGGCAACCAAACGACACCGGCGACCGTTTCGTCGGTGTTTTTTGCCGAAATATAGTCGGAATCGTTGAAGGTTCGTCGAAACCCTTTTGACCTGTAATTACCGGATGAGAAAAGGATCAAATAGACCCTTAAATTTTATTCAAAAGGGCAATTAGGCCCCTGAACTTTATAAAAGAGCAATTAAACACTTGAACTTGTCATTTTAAAGCATCTAAGCCACGTAGCCGGTTATTTACCTGAAATAACAGGTCATTTAAAATTCCGGCGATATTCCGCCGGCGGTCAAATATAAATTCTGGCGGTCAACGACAGTAATTTACTGGTAAATTGGACTTATTTGACTCAAAATGATAAGTTTAAGTGTTTAATTGCACTTTTTTTTTTTTTTTTTTAAGTTCAAGGGCCTAATTGCCCTTTTGAGTAAAGTTCAAGGGTCTATTTGACCCTTTTCTCTTACTGGACACTAACTAATTTTTGGGTCTCAATGCCCTAAAATAATATGTTTAAGGGTAATTACAACCTTTGAAAGTTTAAGGACATAATTGACTTATTGAGTAATATTTAGGAGCTTATTTGACCCTTTTTCATAAATTAATTAATACTCCATACTCCGTAATATGTATTATAATTGAAGGGAGTTAATTTGATTTTTGTTAATTAATTCCTTTTATATCTTTTATTTTATTTTTATGTATTTATATATTTTGTTAAATATGTATACGGAATTGCATGCATAACTACACATCCATAACTTCATAACTATACATTCAGAATTGCATAATTACACATTCATAACTTCATAATTATACATTCAGAATGTAAATTATAACTTCATAACTATACATTCATAATTGCATGCATAACTATACATCCATAACTTCATAACTATACATTCATAATTGCATGCATAACTATACATCCATAACTTCATAACTATACATTCATAATTGCATGCATAACTATACATCCATAACTTCATAACTATACATTCATAATTGCATGCATAACTATACATCCATAACTTCATAACTATACATTCAAAATGTGAAATTATAAAATTATGAACATATGTTTACGTACCTAACGGCAATCGAAAATAATTTTTTATTTTTTAAATAAAACAACACCGTTTTTACAATCGTATACACGATGCATAGTGCACACGGTTACATAGCATAATTTGCCAAACATATTATGACCGTAATTCATGAAAATGATGAGCCCAAACATATTATGACCTTCCTCCCTTGAAGGCTTGAAGCCCATCACCTTTTTTCTTCGAGTTACACAGTGCCCGCCCCATTTTCCCTCCCCGTCATACCTTTACTGCTCACTCAACTTTCAAGTAAACAGATACTTAGCTAGTAATAGCAACAGAAGAAGAAGAAGAAGAAGAAGAAGAAGAAGAGAAGAAGCAGCAGCCAAACATCCATGGCTTCTCTTTTCCATTACATTTCAAAATCCCAACGCGTATGCATCTCACTATTTAGACTTCCAACAAGCTTCATTAGCTCTTTCTCTGCCCCATCCTTCAATTCATACCCTTCCACCTTTACACGCCCATTCCAAGGTAACCTTTTTCTTGTTCATGTACTGTAATAATTATGGATTATACTTTTAAGTTAGTGTTTGATAAGATTTTTCTTTCAGTAATTTCCTCAAACATGTCTATATACTATTGTTGGATAGTGTGCCCTGGGGGTTAGCCGGATTATGAAAATTGAAGTTTGGGTGTCTTTGAATTTTTTTTTTATTATTATTTTTTTAAAGTGAAAATTTACTGTGAGAGATCAAAATGTGAGCAATTGGGTCATTTATTTAGGAAATATTTCTGAAAGTTGGAGAAATATGGTAACTTTTACTGACATTATATTTGGAGTGATTACATAGTAGAAATCCTCATTCTTCCTAACTGCTGTATACAACTAGGAGCATTATGTATGAGATTATAAAGTATATATTTATATTGCTTGATAGATTGTTTGAGTTTTTTAGTCTTACACTTGAGAAAGCAGCATACTCACAAGAGTAATTAGTGAGTCATCAGTGATGGTTAAAGCTTATATATATCCTTGTGCCCTTGTGGTAGTGGCATACATTGCTTCTCTTGCTGAAACGGCCACCGGATTTGATGACATGGTTTCTGGCACCAAACGCAAATACTTCATGTTGGGTGGGAAGGGAGGAGTTGGGAAAACGAGTTGCGCCGCATCTCTTGCTGTAAAGTTTGCAAACCATGGCCATCCAACTATTGTAGTCAGTACTGACCCTGCTCACTCATTGAGTCATTCCTTTGATCAGGTCCAACATTTGGTTGTCACTTCCTTATCTACAACTATGACACCTAATTTTTGGTCTTTAATGAAAAGACTTTGAAGCAATGACATTTTCCACGTAATATCTAGGATTTGACTGGAGGGACTCTCGTTCCAGTTCAAGGAGTGGATTCTCCATTATATGCACTGGAGGTATATCTCTCATTCTGTGCTTCGGGTTTTGGTACTTGTGCTAGGATATCTACATTTCTTTCGTTCTAGTGTTCAACTCACCCTCGGTTTTTAAGTAGATAAACCCTGACAAAACAAGAGAAGAATTCCGTGCAGTGAACCAGGATGATGGTGTCAAAGATTTTATGAATAGCATGGGAGTGGGAACATTGGCTGAGCAGGTGAAACTGCATCCATGTTTTGTTCTCGTCACTGTTCTCCATTTCATGTTGCTCTGTAATTCAATTTTTTACTGTTTTGCACACTGTTGAACAAAATGCGTATTAAATATGTAAAGAACTCTTCATATTTTTAGGAATGACTTTTTTTATATTTCTAGTAGCCTCTTGGCTTTTTATATTTCGACTCTTCCACTAAGCTTTTTGAAATCCTCAAATGACTCAACTGTTTGACTTTTTCTCTTATATCTTATCATAGTTGGGGGACCTAAAATTTACAGAGCTGTTAGACACCCTTCCACCTGGTGTAGATGAAGTTGTTGCGATTTCTAAGGCATGTATAGCAAAATCGAGGTTTCTTTTTAATTTTGATTGATGAGACTCTATCTATACAAATATGGAGTTTGCATTCTTAATCATATAGTGACTTTGCAGGTTATTCAATTTGTTGAGTCTAAAGAGTACAGTAACTTCACTCGGATAGTTTTTGACACAGCTCCCACTGTGAGTAGAAACCTGCATTTTATTTGAATAGTGTCTCTGGCTGGCGTTCACACCCGTTATTCTATAGGGTCATACACTTTGGCTTTTGTCATTGCCAGAAGTCATGGATGCATCAATTGGTAAGATGATGAAGGTTTGTATTCATATACATACAAAAGAATGCTTTAATCTAGCCCTTCCAATCTTTGAATAAGTAATTGTGTCCAATGACATCATACCTACAAAAACAACAAATAAGCATGTTAGGCTATTTGGATTTTCGGCCCCAAGGCTTGGCATTCTCATATTTTGTTTTGAAACTCGTGTCAAATTGGGAAGAAAGTTGGATGATGTTTATTCACACCTTTGATCACAATTTATATAAGAGTTTACATTATTACATATTTACGGAACTAAATCTCTCTCACTATCTAAAAAATTCTCCCTAAATCCTAATCAATTAAAATAAATGTTGATCCATTAGAGAGGAATCAGCAACTAATTACACTGAGGATATGAAACTAATCCTATTACTTTGATTTTGTATCTTATATTACGATCTGAGTGATTCTCCTCGTCATTCTGTGTTATACAGCTAAAGAAAAAAATAGCTTCTGCAAACTCAGCAATTAAATCTGTTTTCGGGAAAGAGAGCCCTCGACAAGATGACACCGTAAGCATTGAGTTGTTTATACCAGTTTTGCACTCGGCTGTTACTAAAAATTTGCCTGTTTGTTTGGGTCCAGAATGACACTCTACAGCAGCTAAGGAGCAGGATGGCCGAAGTCCGAGATCTGTTTCATGATACCGAAGCTACAGAGTTTATCATTGTTACAATTCCCTCGGTAATGCCAACAACTCCGCTACTGTTTTAGTTTTAAAAGCACGGGTACTTGGCTGATCACTGGTGATATGTTCACGAGATATACTTCTCGTTATGGGCCTATGAGAGACAGAGTTTGAACGATTGGTTCTGTTCTTCCCAATCGTGAAGAAGGGAAAACGGAATGAGAGAAGAGAGAGTTGGGGAGAAGTTGGAGGAAGAAACTTCCTTTTGACTTTATTCAATTTCCAACTTGTCTTTCAATCATATATTGCTGTCCTATTTAAGGACTACCAACATAATTAACTAAGGAAGGAAAGATAATTACCAACTATAAAGAAATTCTGAAATAATACTAATTGAGATAAAAAAGTAAAGAGAATAAATCAGATTGCTTAAATCGAGGGCGCCAATCTGTGAGATTTGCGCCCTTTTGCAGTAGTACTGTTGACCAACGAATGCATCAACTGGTTTGAATTTTATCATCAATCATAAGCTATGATCTTCTAGCACCCTTGTTACTTCTTTCCTCCCGGCATCATTTTCTTTGCAGTTATTGCTCTCAGCTTTTGATTTTATGATACCAATCTTAATGGTGTTAGCAAATGTACTTTATATTTCTTAAGTCCGTCAATGACAGATTGCCATGATTTCTGGTCACGTTTATATATGAGCTAAATTTTATTTTACTTGGTTTATTGCTAAAAGTTTTTTTTTTTTAATGGACAGAGTCATTTTAACTGTCAAACTTTTTTGCTCTGATTTTCTGAAACTCTTTTTGTGCATTTTAACTTGAAATATCTAAAATGTCAACCTTTGTATTTTTAATGGCCTATTTTATACCAGTAAACAACTTCATGATGTGATGTTTTATTTTAATGAAGGCTATGGCTGTAAGTGAATCTTCACGGTTGTGTAAATTCTTGAAGAAAGAAAAAGTTGCGGTAAGAAGGCTTGTCGTTAATCAAGTGCTATCACCATCTGCCTCAAACTGCAAGTTGTGTGACATGAGGAGGAAGGTATCAATTCATTAATGCTATTATGCAGAGTTTAACTTTTAACTCGTCTGAACAGTGGTGAGTTGGGAGAATTGTCTGAACCGTTTTCTACACCTTCATCTTATCTGTAACGTAACTAACAGAAACAAAACCCGAGGTTTTCTTAGTGATTTGATTGGTACTTTCTATAGTTGCATGTTTTAGTGCTACAAGTTAAGCATCTGTTGCAGGATCAGAGTCGGGTTCTTGATTTGATTGGTAAAGATCCAGATTTGGGAAGGTTGATGTTACTCCAGGCACCCCTGTTTGATGCAGAGATAAGAGGTGCACCTGCGCTTAAATTCATGGGCGATACGGTTTGGAAATGAATAATGTCCATCCATATAGGTGAGTGACTAAATCATCGATTTTCCTCCTCCCTATCACCATCATCTAGCTAAAACTTGTTTGCTAAGAAATACTTGCTTGTTCTGTTATAAAACAATTATAGAAAATGCAAAACATATTGTACAACTTTGTCAAGCATATAACACTATTACATATGACAGCATAGAAATTCCCGAGCTTATTAGTTTGGTTCTTCTTTCTCTTTATTAAGACATTCTTCTTGCTAATTGTTTTTCAAATCACCTTTTCTCTATACATAATATTATTTCAGGAATATGGATGTTGACATTAAAGAAGAAGCTACTTGCACTTGAGGCAACTGGATGACGAGGTAATAAAGAGTATATTAGAATTGACTTAAAAGTTATTGTTGTAACTCAATAGATGGATCATTAACTTGAAAGAAGATTACCTGAATCCTTGGCCCGGATTGTTTGCAAGGATGGATGGGTATTTTTTTGCAGACAGCAGAGTGAATGTAAGTTAAAGAATCAAAATTATCATTATCATCAAGTGTGAACATCAATACCTCTAAATTGTTTGTGCTGCCTGGAAAAAATGATTCCTACCGGTCAAATAATATAAAAGTAAATAGAGAAGCAAAACAAGATTTTAGTGGCTTCACTACTATATCATGAGAATACCAGAACCAGGTATCACTGGACTGGTGCTGGAAGGAACACTATGACAGCAAACCAGTTTACTTGAGCATGCTACGTCAAACTTCAATGACATCAGCCATTTTTGGCAGATGATAATTCTTCCATGGACTCTCATTTACTCTGGAAAGTGATTAAGCAGAAGAAGGCTATAATGCGACTGAGTATGCCTGTTAGAATGAGGCAACCCAGGCAAGAATACCAATCTAAAAGAGCGAAACCTCTTTGTTTTAGGACTCCACATCTTGTGATCAGCCACACTCCAGAGTACCTGAAAGATTAAAAATTTAAAACAAATTTCTAAATTGTCATCAGTGCCTTTTGTACTTGGTACAACCAAGCATGGTTACACTATCTATCGTGGGGACAATATCCAGTACAATCCAATCCAAAACAGCATCGTAGAAAAGCTGCCCATTTGGCACATACATTGTGAGTCACAAGTCCCTACCCTACATAAAGTTGAAGGTAATCTCACCTTCTAGCATTTGCTATCAAAAATGCTTCCAAAGTCCATTTAGTATAGCAAAAATCTCCTATTCCTGCCAGAAATGAGTCACTTTTCTGGTTTGCAACTAGAGTCAAGACAACTGGAAGCAAAACTGACCACTGCAGTAAAACACAATAGTTTTTTTTTTTTTTTGAGTTGAAAAGTTGACATCAATATTATATTTATTTCATAGATCAGTAATTTGAATGCTCACCAGCTGAGCTTGTCCAGGTTCAAAACAGATGGCAAGCACATAGGCTATTCCAGTAGCTGAGTATATGAGACAAAACAGGACAATGTAGTTATCCAGAATCGAGGATCTTGGATTGTTGAAGAAATAGAACATTGATAGATAAACTGCTGGCTTTATAATGATATTTAACTGATCAATTGTATCCTTTGCCATGAAATAAGCCAAGCTGCTCATGCCAGAAGCACTCTCTCTCCAGTAGTGTAATTTATCCAGAGAAAATGATCTGAGAGCTGCAATCTTGCTAAGTAGAGCTGCAAATCAACTTATTAGCAGACTACTAGCTAGGATGAATAATAATAAACTAGTGTAATTCTTTTACTTACAGACTGCAATGACAGTGTAAAGATATCCCATGGACCCAAAGCTTTCATCACTCACTTTAGCAAGTGTTCCTAAACAAATTCCAGCAAGTAATAGAATAAGGTAATCTACTGCCTGTACCCTAGCTTCTCGCAATCGCTGCTTGCCAATCCTACACAAATTGCATTACCAATATGGGCATTATCATCATATTTTTAGACTAATTCAATTCATAGGAATATGAAACAACTGAAAGTTTAGTTGTTACCTTCCAAGAAAGTACTTATACTGTACCAATAAACCTGGAGTATTCCTATTGGACGAGTCCTTTAAGGTCAAGAAGTAATGCTTCACTTGGTCCCTCTTCTGTTCCACATTAGATTTGAGATCCTCCCACAGGTTTGCAAACAGAGGTCCATCAGGCTCCTCAGATGCAGGATTTGATTCATGACCTGGACTTTCGCCATTCGCTGCTGCTAACCCAACAGGGCTTAGCATGTCTGGTGGCACAGTATAACCGTTATGAAGCATCCATTTTAGAGGAAGATCCTTGTAGTTAAATCCTATATCTGGGCTCAGTTTTTCAATTCCCTCCAAAATGTCAATGAAAAAATCAGGGGGATTAACACGCTCGGGGACATGAATCCCAAGCCCTGCAAAATATTCTTCAACTTTCTTCACTGGTCCATGGTATACGACAAGACCACCCTTGGCAAGAAGTATAAAATCATCGAACATATTGAACAATGTGTAGCTGAAGCAGGAAATCCACTACTTAGAGGAACATAAACAGATTTTTACTTGGAACAATTACTAATCTTTATACTATATATCTAAAAACGAACTGTAAATTAACTGGAGATCAAGACTTTGGCAGAACACTCTCTCTGTCTTACACACTCACTCAGCAAAAATTGTTATATCAACCAATATGATGCAACTTCTTGATGAATAAAGAGTAATAACTCCCAAAAATAAATATATCTTACTTTTCTGTAATAAACATTTTAAGGTTATATTTATATGCCATCCTTGTCTCTACCAAAGTTGGAAAAGGTTTTCAAAATTACCTTGGTTGGTGAAGCACCATGCATATATTTACTCCTTCAAGAGCCTCACGGCGAAGTGCTTTAAGTAATAACTGAGAAGAAGAGCTGTCCAAACCAGAGGTGGGTTCATCTAAGATCAATAATGAAGGTTCCATTACCATTTCCAGCCCAACATTTACTCGCTTCCTTTGACCACCAGATATTCCCCTTTTCTCCACAGTACCCACAAGGGAATCTCTCACATTTTGCAATCCCAGGGATTCAATTACTCGTTCTACAACTAAAACCTTTTCTGCTTTTACAAGTTTTGCTGGCAACCTGGAAAAGTTCAAAAATATATATATATATGAGTAAACTGAAATGAATAATGTGAATCTTAATCATTAATTGCTCCACCTTTTACATCACTAAGTAAGCTAGTTAGTTGTTGATTCATGCCTCCTTTGCTGAGCACTACATGTCTTGAACTCAGCTTTAGAAATAATAGAGTAAAGGAAAGAGACAAAACAAAATTTTCATGGGTCTTGTAGCATAATGCATGTTATAATTCAGAAAAAGGAAAACAAGTGTAATCTCTGGAACAAAATATTCAGAAAACAGTATAATTTCTTAATAATAGACTTACCCTTGATCTGTAACATATAAGTGTTGATTGTTTTTAACTTTCCGATTTACCAGTTCATTTTGTCTTTATAGATGATGAAGTCAAATAAAAATAACACTATGAATAAGCAAGCCACAATCTTGGCACTTGAAATCAAATGATTAAAATCCAGCTTGATGAGTAAAGAAGGACCAATTACTCCATGCAGATTTGGTATTCCATATTAACTTAGAGCCTCTGTGTAGGATGATAAACTACGGAAGTATTGTAACATGCCTGCATATAGCGCTAAACCAGAGATTTTCTTCCACAGTCAAGTTTCCATGCACAATATCATCTTGTGGGACAAAGCCAATAATTTTCTTGTATGACTGCACTGTTTCAGCCTTGCCATTTATAAGAATCACACCACTCATGGTACATGCTGTGGCTTTTCCAGTCAAAGCAGAGAGGAATGTTGTCTTTCCAGCCCCGGATGGACCCATGACAGCAGAAACACGACCAGGCGATAATTTCCCCGATACACACCTCAACAGATGCTTCTTTTTACCGGTTAAACTAAGTGTCAGATCTTTAAAAACAACCTCAATAGGAGGTCTGGTGATAACTTTAGTATCAGATGCCAATGAGATGACACCAGAGTAGCTCAGATTTGGGCTATTCTCCTGACGTGCTTTTTCTTTCTCAATTTCACCATAAGCATATCTAAACATTTCACTGCGAGTATGCATGTGCTTAGTCTTAGTAGGTTTCTTCTTCAAATTTTTGTTTTCGATCTCAATGTCGTTGAAATCATCATAACTCTCAGAGTTCTCTTCAGAAGGGGAAGATAAGAAGGAAACATCCATTACAGGACTAGCTTGGCCTATACTATTCGTCTCCTCCCTCACTGACTTTTTACGGGAAAATGTCCGTGATAACTGTGTCTGAAGTCCAGTTGCATGCTTTTTAGCAATATCCTTTGTAGCTTTCCATGTTTGTGCTTGTACTGTTTCCCGAACAGTTTTCACAGCAGCTTCTCTGGACTTTGCTTGCCTTTTCTCTCTAGTGCTCAGAACTCGGTCTGAGCAACTGTATATAACAAGAAGTATGAGCATGATTCCAGCCTAGTCAACCAATGAAGAGGGAAATTAAGGAAGGCTTACACAAAACATATATCAACATATGCTGGAAAACAAAAATAACCATGTTTGAGGTTGAATCATATCACCCGATATCTAGAAAGATGAATTGGGTCAATAAGTCTTAGATGAGACTTGATAGGGTAAGGATGAAGATTATTTTTTGAAATACAAAAAGAAAAAGGTTAGCAATTAAGTTCAATCAAATCCCTCTCCTTCCACCCTCTTTCAAATGAAGCATACTCAAAGAACATGTTTTCTCAAAGGTGCATCTGAATATAATTATGCAAATGACATTTATAAATTTTACAAGTGACACTATGACTTACAACAAAAAGGGCACCATACGCCGTAATGTTTTGATTTTCTGTTTGGGGGTCACAAGTAGCCAACCGGTAACATTCTGCAAATTTATCACTGTTGCATCAGTAAAACAACATTCGTACTTTATCATATGAGAGGCATGTTAAACATGCTTACATGCAGAAACCTGAGGAGAAAACACAAATACCTTTCTTTTCTATTCATTAACACACCCCTTCAACTTTATTTCACCTATATTTATGTATAGCTACTACAATATTGTTGATCATGGCAATAATAATACATATTAGTACTTCAAAAAGCTAGGAAGTGGGTAAAAGGTTCCTATAAACAAGTTCAGAGTGAAATGGAATTCCTGGAATACACTGAATACCACATTCTACATCTAACCAGAATAGTGACGCCTAACATAATTTCAATGCTTCGTATAATACAGGTCTATGTGTACATCTCAAATACTATATTTTAATAAGCTTGTATTACTAAAATGGAATTAAAATATTAATGTTAGTCTAGGACATTGTCAACACACTGAACAATGATGTGACAATTATCTTATTTATTTATTTTTGAGGACTATATTTATTGAGATGCAAGAAAGAGAAACCACCATACAAGAGAAACACATACTTGATTGGGTTGTTGAGCCAGTTCTGCAGTAATGTCTGGAAAAACATAAATGAATAATGTGAGTAACAGGGTACTGCTAAAAGCTTGGAACTGAGTTAAGCTATGCACCAAGTGTGCAAAAATAGCATATGCAGCCTAAACATGCAGGGTTGGAAAGGAGAAAGAAACTCGAAATAAAAAATTGGGATGAGATGGATGCAGTAAAGGTTGGGCTAAAATCAATACCCGCTATCACAGGGAAATTTACGGATAGTAGATGGACAGTAAGATCCTGCAGGGCAGAATAGATCGTTGCCAGTAATAATATCAGCCCACATATCTGCTCCACCGCACGTTTGATTACTATTACTAGGTTGCACTTGATAATTATACCTGCAATGTATCAACAGAGAATATAGCTTTATGACAAATGCAAGAACAAGCTAGCTCAAGAAAAAGTATTATACTTACGGATCACATCCTGCTGTAGCTTCATTGAGTTTTGCTACAGGGCAATAAGAGCCTAATGGGCAGGCTTCATTCACCAGGAGACACAAGGGAAAAATCAGAATAATAAACTAAAAATGTGCAACTTAATACTGATTGATTAGCAGGATATGCCATATTGAGAACAGAACCAGCTATAGATGTAAGTTATTCCTTCATACATTCTTAACTAAATCGATAGATCAATCCAACTGCAGAGTGGTGTAAGGTTAAACAATTAAAAATAGAATGCATGTGTCAAACTAATAATCTCTTCCTGGAAATCCCCTTAAAAATTGCTTACAGAATGCATCAAGCAAATGTTATCACACTCTCCAGATTAGTTTCAACTGTGATCATGAAAGTGATCAACCTATTGGATTTTAACTTAACTCTTACATCATCATTTTTTATCTTTTTCACTTTTTTCCTGGTCAGAAGGGGCAACTGTTTTTGTTTAGCATCATAAAGCAGTCAAACTCAGAATCATAGAGTATGAATGTGGTAAAGATATTCTGAAATAATTTTGAAAGAATTGAACAATTCCCAACTTTTGGGAGAAAATTAAACCCATGTGTCATTAAGCAGAGTTCTATGCTTTCTCCTTCTCATCGAGAGGTTTTATCTAAGGAGATGCATGATAACTCTTCCAGCTAGCAAAATATTCAGACTATCCAACTTAATATGGGAACAAGGATAACTCCATAAATGAGAAAGAGTAAGAAGCATGGTAGATATTGTTGCAAATTTTATTTTTTCTGACCATACCATATCTTTTTTAGGCTTATCTTCTCTTGAAAGATGTTCAGAAAAGATAAAAGCAGGGAAAGTGATGGCTTCTGAAAGAGATGGTTGTTTTTTTTTTTTAATGGAAACACTTACCTAGTTAGGAAACTCAATCAAAAAGCTTGATGATATAAAATGGGAATCTTCCAAAACTGATACCCTTCTCATTTGATCATCCTTATATACCCAGAATGGCTAGACTATCCCATGACAAGTTTCCTCTGACGGTAACTATTAGAATATCCCATATACTGGCTAAATGTCTGCTCAATATTATTATTTCTCTTTTTAAAATTTTTTCCTTTATAATGTGTGTGAATTAGGTGCAAGGATGAAGAGAAACAAAAATGGAGAAGCTTACGTAACATGCAGGTGAGACCATGAGGACAAAAGAAGCCTTCACAACATGGTTGACAATCATCAGTTCTCGCTGGGATTTCCTTTATATTTTTAAGATCAACAGATACATTTTTTCCAACGCCACAAGCCCATCCTGGGTCACAACCAGCACCCCAAGATGATAAATTACAGTTCTTGTTAAGTGTCACAAAGTTGGTACTCTTTCTTGCCAGAGCACCCATCATTATATTAGCTGCATAAAACTGAATTTCTGAAGCTGTACACAAGCGCTGCATCATATCCCCTGTTAATCCATGAAAACGAAATGTCAGATTACTAATCAAGACAAAAGAATTAAAGCAAATTATTTACATCCCATTTGGTGAACACTCATTAACAACTCTAAAATACTGATTGAGCACAAAAAATATGTTTTGAACCTCAAAATATTCCTTTTACAGACTTGGGACATCCCATTATTTGTGGGAGAAGAAAGAAGGTTATGGATATTGTATAAAGGTGCTGGAAAGAAAGGTATATTGTTATCATTTGGGTGAAAAGCTATCCTTGTCAAGCATGTCTTCCAATCAATCCTGACTAATGTTTTAGCTGCCATTAGATATCCAAAACATTTCTTCAAGCTTTTGAGCAGGTTCTTTGCAAAATTCTTTTGGGGTGACCTTTAGGAGACTCAAAGAACATTTTGGCTAGTTAGGAAAACATGGCCTATCCTACATAAAAAAAAAAAAAAGAAAAAAAAAGAAAAAAAAAAGTGGATAACCGGTTCCCTGTTATGGTACCATTTCAACTAGTTCATTAGATTACACATTAATATTTTATATATTAGAGGTTGTTCCGGTGAGAACGGGTTGCCCAAGAGAGAACTAAGAACCACTCACATCTGTCCACGTGTTCAGATCTAATGGATCAGAAACACTGATTTTTTTTAATGCGGTGGCATTTAATAATTGAACATTGAAGTGCAAGTAAATTGTGTTAAAAATGCAAGTAACAGTTTCATATATTGCACCTAAGTGCAAGTAAAATATATTAAAAATGCAAGTAAAATGTATTAAAAATGCAACAAATAATGTACACTGACCATCAATACTAAGTGCACATAACATTATCATTAGTTACACCAAACGTTATCATTAAGTGCACCAATCATTAGGTGTATCAATGTTAACTTGCACTATTTAGTGAAAATAGTTGCACTTGTAAGTGATTTTACTTGCACTTTTTATTTGCAAATTTGAACCAGTTACTTGCACTTTTAACACATTTTACATGCACCAAAGCTCAAGTTATTTACGAAAATGACACCAAGTTGATTTCTAAAATTATTTGATTCGTTAAATCTGGACGCGTGGACGAGTGTGATTGATTCTTAGTTTTGGAGCGGTGGTTTTAATAGTACGCGATCGCACAGAAAATTGTGGAGTGGAAGCTAAATTTTCATTTGCGATAGAAATCATAGAATTAAAGGAGTTGGCTTTATGGGGTAACTCAACATACCTTTTGTTCTCTTGACGCAGTTGGACAAAAACTCTTTGTCACTGAAATCAAAAGCCCTTTTCCACTCAGCCTCCCTGCAAAACAGCACAGCACAGGGCAAATTGATTAAAAAATGAAATTAAAAAGGCACAGATCGATAGCGTCGTGATGGTAAGCTAGTTATACATATATAGAGGGAAATGATGATTTTGAAACTTCTTCAGAAAATTTCAGACCTATTTCACTAGACTACAAAATCATTTTCAGGCAAGAGGCTGTAACCTAAAGGATAATCCTGGTAAGCTAGCTGTAAGCACAAGAAGCAATAAATATATGCAGATTTCCCGTAAAAAAAAATAAATTATAGATTAGTTTTGACAGAATTTGAGCAATCGCTCTTCTATAAGCTGTCATGCAAATCGTTGTTTACAGATTGGAAGGGGCGAAAGCGACATACACATCGTAGATGCAGAAGCCCAATTCTTCGGCAACTTTATTGCCGAACAAGGCGGTGAAATTCTTCAACTGGTTAGAGACGTTATGCGTCAGGAGCCGCACCTCCTCCGGATTATTGACGTCCACGGCGGCGTAGCTCCGGCGCGTGGCGGGAGGGGCCAGGAGGAACACGGAAACGCAGATGAAGCTGAGAAGGACGGCATTGTTATTTCTGTGGCAGAGGTTCCCATCTTTCTGCCTGTGCATTTTCTCGCAGCACAGACGAAAGAAAGGAAAGCTTTGCGGTGACTCCGTCGTCGAGTTTTGGGATGTGAAAATGCCGGCAGAATGGTGTTCTTTTTTTGAGGGAAACAATGGCGGGGAGAGAAAGATGGAGCCATCACCCATGGAGGGAGAGAGGGAGGAAGATCTCAGCTTTGTATTTGGACCGTCGGATTCAAGAAAAAGTAAACGGTCGTCAAATCTGTAATAAGATTTCGTTAACTGCCTTAACTTCTGGGTCCACACATAATAAATCATTTAAATCTATTTTGTGATTTAGTTCACTAATTAACTTACATTTATTAAAAAAATATTCTTTTTTCTATTATAAATTTGAAGTCTCTCCCATCCTAAAAGTTGATAGAGAAAATAAATTGAGATGTATGTTTCAACTTGTTTACAAGTCTCTAAAAAATGTTTTTATTATCACTTTTCTATTATGTATCATGTTAATGCACCTTATCATTATTTTTTTATTTTTTTAAAAAGAGTATAATATCAACAAAAAAAAAAAATAAAATTGCACAATAAAAATAAATGGTGATAATATTTTTCTATTTATATTAAAAATATTTTACAATAGATAAAGAAAGAGCGATGATTATGTTATTTATACTCTTCTTTCTATTCAAATTATATATAGATTGCGTTTTAATGATTACACTTTTTTTTTAACACATATTGTTCCTTAATAAATTTTAATTAAGTATTTTTAATACATTTATTTATTTTTTAATGGTGGTATTTTAGTTATTGGAAATTAAATTAAAGTGATAAAATTATAAAAATTAGAAGGAGCTTTCAATGTTGGCATTTTGTACTATGAACAAATGTCTACGTTTAGACTTTGAAGTTGTATTCTTTTTTCTTTTGGCGCCAAATAATACGGAGTATATATATAAGTTGATCTTACAAGTTCTACTTAATTTTAAATAACAATTAACTTTTCTTTAATTAAGATTGTTTTCTTTATATAGAAAGAACGAAATAAAAGCACAAGATAAGAAAGTAGAATTAGGGACACAAATTGATAACAACAGCTCGAAGTAAAACTCCTACGTCTGCGGAGCAATTCACGTCAATCCAATTCACTAAATGATCACTAAAGATTACAAGGTTGGTAAGACTTATTCATACATACTATGGGGCATAACCTAGTGATGATTAAGATATAAATTGATGAGGTAATCAGCACTGTAATGATTAGGACATAATGGATTAATAAATGTTGTGATGCAATTTAGAACAATTCGCCAGTCGTCACCCTACCTGCAGCATGCCTTCACGCCTCAATGTATAGTAGAAAAATGATAACCAATTAAACTAATAATGTGCTGCTAGAATTCCTCCATCCATTCAAAAATATTGTCTAAGTACTTGTTAGATAAAATTATTGATCGGAAAGTACTTGTTCAAACCAATCGAAATTTATTAGATAAAATTATTGATAATTCCAATCACGCGTTGACACTGTTTCAGAAACCACGGAGAATGATTCAGATTGAAATACGGTCCAACCAAGACAAAATAAAATATCCTAAATTTTGACAAATAATATAGTCAAATTAATTAGAATAAAAATATGTATCATTTGCGCGTGCGCGTGCGCGCGCGCGCACACGCACACATATATATAAGAAAATACTACCTGCTTTGGGGTAAGAAAATATTACATGCACTCTAATTTTTTACTCCCAACTTGTACTCTCCCTCACAAATACTTGATGTAGACATTTCCTTGGGACCCACATGATGAAAATAGTCAATCTTTGTTGCCATGTCATAGAGTACAACTGAAGGAGTAAAATTTGAAAGTACATGTAGTAAAACTCATATATATATATATATATATATATATATATATATATATATATATATATATATATATATATGATTATATTCAAATACAAACAATCCTTAAAATACAAACATGTGGATTGATTAGGATCGTTGGATTTTAGAATTGGATGGATAGGATTGATTTAATTATTTATGGAGATTTTAATTTACTATGCGCCTGTTTTTATGTTAGGGAGGGTAATTTTGATTTTTTACTATTGATGCAATCGGATCAAATTCTACAATCACGCCTCAATTCTCTCTCTCTCTCTCTCTATCTTCAGCGTACGTTGGCCGAACGACTCTCCCATGGCCGAACGACTCTCCCACGCCGTTGGATTCGCCTTCTTCATCAACAAGCCAAGCGCCAGGGACCATCAGTTCTTGGTGTCGGCGAGGTACTTTATTCCGTTGTTTTCAATTTTTTGCATTTTTTTTTCTGGTGTTCTTGTGTATTGGTGCTCGTGTTGTTCCTTTTTGGTGTTTTTCGTGACTGTCGTCATCTTAGAGTGCTTGTGCGGGGGGTGGGGGTGTCGATGGGCGACAGATTTTGGTCCGGATTTAGGACGAAGGGTTTCGTTTTTGTTGGCTGATAAATCCATTAGGATTTTGGTTAGGTCTCTATATCTTTGTTTCTGTGTTCATGGGTCTGGGTTTCCGGGTGTGACCGGAATTGTATCCACTCTCACCACGGTTAGTCTCTACATCTTTACATCATATGTTATTATGTAATCTCTATGGTATTGATTTGATTCAATTACATTGCTCGTGCAGCTTAATACTGTTGTGGATACCTCTTAAGATCGGGATAAGCGGATTGCTTTGTTTGTGGACAGACTGGTGGAGGACTTTGAGATGACGCCATACAATGACATTAGTAAAGTTGACATTAGTAAATTTGGCACTAGATTTAGATATATGGGTATAAATGCGTCCATTGCTCGTGTGCATATTGGTGTTGATATGTGTGCACGCATATTTAAATACCATTCATCTTCCGTACTAATATTTGTACCAGTTAGACGCTAATGTGCGCACACTAGTGTATACTCCTTAATAACTTCGTGTCCCTTTCTATTATAAGTATTATTATTCTAGAGTTATGGTAAATGAAACTCCCTGGATGTGTACACACTGTTGTTGATATGTGTGCATGCATATCTAAATAAAGTTCACTTTACGTACTAATATTCCAAAGAGTTAGACGTTCACGTGTGAACTCTAGTGTATGTGTCTGTGCTCCTTAATAACTCCGTGCCCCTTTCTAGTACAAGTATTATTATTCTAATTTTATGGTAAATGAAACTCGTCGGACGTGTCCACATTGTTGTTGATATGTGTGCATGCATGACTAAATAACATTCAATTTACGTACTAATATTCCTACTAGTTAGACGTTCATGTGTGCACTCCAGTTTGTGCGTCTGTGCTCCTTAATAACTATGTACCCCTCACTAGTACAAATATTATTATTCTAATTTTATGGTAAATGAAACTCGCGGGATGTGTACACATTGTTTTTGATGTGTGCATGCATGTCTAAATAACATTCAATTTATGTACTAATATTCCTACCAATTAGACGTTCACGTGTGCACACTAGTGTATGTGTGTGTGATCCTTACTTATTATCTCCGTGTCCAATATGGTGGTTTCAAGAAATGGATGTAGGCATACGTTTCTTAAAGCATATGATTTGTAATTACTTAACCAGCTTGATACTATAATAATAATAATAATAATAATAATAATAATAATAATAATAATAATAATAATAATAATAATAATAATAATAATAATAATAATAACAATAGTAACTATTGTTATTATTATTATTATTATTATTATTATTATTATTATTATTATTATTATTTTCAGATTCCAAACGTGATGTTGTTTTGCGCAATCCTATGAATATGTCTTGGAAATAAGCGGGTATCCACGATGCCCGCACCTCGTATAGTTTATCAAACCACCTGTTCTTCCAAATTTTGTCACGCGGCATCTCGGACCACATGTGTGCCACCCGACGAAATGCGTGTGCAAATGTCGCACATGTGTCGTGGCTACAACTTAATATAATCTAACTAGCATAGGATTACCAAATTACCAAATTTGTTAGTCTGTAACATGAAGAATCTTGGAGCACCCATTACCAAATTTTTTAGATGAAACTGTAATTTAGAAAATTTAGGCATAAAGAAAAATGTATGCACACCCGACAAATTACGTGTGCACATGCTATGCAAAGCGTCCCACTACCTTCCCTATCATGCAGATTCGTATTCACCATTTTCATAAACCAGTGCCATATGCATTACGTTTGACCCAAAAAAAAAAAAATTAAATTTATGCATACAAATCGCACAGTGTTCATAATTAGCCAATCAAATTACAATAATAGTGCTCAGTTCTACTGCGTAATTACCTGTCCATGGAGTCTGGGTTGGCATCGTAATTTCTTGAGTTTGCATCTTCTATGGTGTCTGTGTTTGCTTTGATGATTGCACGACGGAAAAGATTGTCCGGATTTCTTTCGTAAAAGGAGATGCGTTGCCAGGGATGTATTCAAGTCCTACCATGTTTAAACCTCCTTAATTCTTGCTTAATATACTAATCATATCTATTCCTTATTTACGTTGTATAACCATTCCCATTATTGCCCTTATTTACACTAAATTAGAATCTCCAATTAATTACTCTCCTTGCATCTAATCCATCCATCTAAACACATCCTATGGCTAGATTTTGTCCTCAAGTTTGTATTTTAAGGGAGTTTGCATGTGAATGCAACCCTATATATATATATATATATATATATATATATATATATTGTTTGAAAGTGTCGACTTGTAATTTAAAGTTATGCATAACTGACAAACTCAATTTCCAATAATAATCAAATTTAAAATATTGTGATTATTAAATTAAATTAACAATCTGATTAACTTAATTAGGATTGTACCCTTAAATTATATTCGATACTATTAATCTTGTTTTCTTGATACCACTCCCTATGACAATCCCACAAGTATATATGTCGTATTCGATGCATAACCCCACAAGTATTTATGATTTGTACTTTAGAATTTTTATAAGAAATTATGGACAAATTGATTATATACAAATTCTAGATTTTGAAATAATATCTAAAATCACAATAGTCCATAATATCTTTTTAACATTGATTCATATGCAAATATTATAGTGAGTACATACTAGGTTCAAAATCGTGACTTGTAGTTGTGGTCAAGTCAAACTGTGTCAACAAAAACATATAATAACACAGCAGGCCCACAAACATTCACATATATCCAAAATGGGCCCCAAAAACTTTCCAAATTCTGTTTACCCTCAATAATCACCCATTTCTTGTTTCACAACAAAATCCCCTTTCTCCGCCTGCATCAGCAGAGCCGTAAACGACGTCGGTCCGACCGCATCCTGGTCTGTCTCCGGCACCGCCGCCGGAATCTGAGGGTAGTAAGGCGGCGAGAGGTCCTCCGTGGCGCTGCTGGGGGAGTCCACGGCGGTGGCCGCGTAGCTAGAGGGGAAAACAGAGGGGTGGACGTGGCGGAGGAGCCACTCCACGGTCTGGCCGTCGGTGCGGTGGCCGAGCTCCCGCGTGAGCTGGAAAATCCTGGCGGCGCAGAGGGGAGGGAGGCGGACGCGCCGCCCGCTACCCTTCCCTCTCTTCTTGGTGACGGGGCGAGCGGGAGCGAGCGGAGCAGGCGTTGAGGATGATAATGGCGGCGGCGATGGGCGTGGATATGGAGATGGTAAGACGACGAAAGTTTCATCTTCTTGACGTGTAGCATTGTACCGATAAGGCTCCATTGATAGCTAGGGTTTATCCTTTGCCGGGGAGGAGGTGGTGAATGAAAGAAGAGCTGTGAGAATGAGAGAGAGAGAGAGAGAGGGAATTGAAAAAATGGGGCTGCCATAAAACATTTTCCAAGAAAGTATTAACTCTCCCCAAGTCTGAAAAAGGAGGATGATAATTTATTACGGAGTATTACAGTCTACCACTCTCCTTGATTTGATGGTACATCGGCCAGTTTTAAAACAATAGTGCGCTTGGTTCACGAAATGTTAGATTAATTTAGAGAATGTTAAGTTACTGTGAGAGGTCGTTTCGTTCATAGAATGTTAAATTGTTAGATTATTTTAATGAATGTTAGATTACTGTGAGAGGTCGTTTCGTTCACATAATGTTAAATTGTTGGGATTATTAGATTTCTGTGTTTGGTTAAAATTGAGGTATGTAATATAATCATGATGTTAAATTGTTAGATTATTTTAGGGAATGTTTTTTTTGAAAGTCAACCATTGGGTTGTATTTATAGATGAATCAAAATAGAGTCAGGACATTGTCCCAGTACATCGGTACTGTATAATTAAAAGCAGCTGCTGCTAAAGTATGAGCTAAGGTATTTTGCGATCTAGAGATAAAATTAACCGAACAATAATCAAGCATATTTAAATAGTTTCTGCAGTCTTCCAGGGCGTAACCAAGATAGGATCGTGCCTGGATAGTAGCTGACGACAAATAGGAGAGTAGTGTCTGACAATCTGTGAAGAGGTTAACTGATTGTTCCCCCCGGTTCTTGAGCCACGATAATACTTCTTTGCATGCCATAGCATCCGCCATAAGTGGTGAGAAGCAACTTTGCGGAGGTGCACAAAAAGCTGATATATAATTGCCAGTGTGGGTGAACAACACTGCTCCAGCGGTGGCCGTCATGGTCGACGGGTGATATCCGGCATCGGTGTGACACCGTCTTGGTTGGGGTAGATGGTCTTCGGCATGTTGCGGTGGCGGCTGTTGTTGCATCAACACGGCAGAGCTGGCCGGTATTGTAACATGCGGCAGTAGCGTGGGATGTTGGTGAGCAGCACTCGGTTGGTCGGTAGTGGCATGTAAACGCTGCCATGCCTTCATAACGGCTAAGGCCGTGGCTAGGACTTTCTTGGGCATTGGTAGATAAGCATTCCACACCGCTTCGTTCCGGGCCCTCCAAATATTGTATAATATCGCAGCTGCAAACAATATTGCATCAGAATCTAGAACATCTAACAATGTTCCAAACCATTCATTAAAAACATTTGTCACAATTTGGGGAATTGGAAGGCTAGATTGGCTCCATATGGCTTTTACATAGTCACACAACACTAATGAGTGCATTATATCCTCATGCCTTAAACCGCACATTGCACATGTCAGATCAATTTCCACCCTCTTTATAAGTAAGTTAGTAGTGGTGGGTAATATATTACTCATAGCTCTCCATAGGACATTTTCCATTTTGGTGGTATCTTGAGGTGCCATAGGGTGTTCCATTTATCAAAACCCATGTTAGTATTATAGGTACCCACTATAAGCCTGTATCCATTCTTCACCGAGTAGCATCCATTAGGATCTCCATACCAATACCAATTATCCTCATAATCCGGGGAGATGGGGATCTTTAAGATTCTAGGTATATCATTTGGATGAAAAATATCTGCTAAAATGCGGGGATCCCATGACCCAGTTGTTTGGTCAATCAACCCTGCAACCTTAGCATCTGCTAATTGTAGTGGCATCTCAGTTTGGACCATAGGATCCAACTCATCCTGGAGCCAAGGATCCTTCCATATTGAAGTCGATTCACCATTCCCAATACGTCGTCGCACCCCACTGGTAATTAATTCTTTAGCAGCCATAATACTCCTCCAGCAGTAGCTAGGATTATTCCCTATACTTGCCTCAGAAAAAGATAGTTTAGGGTAATACCTAGCTTTGTACACACACCAATGAGTCAGTATTTGTTAGGAAACGCCAAGCCTGTTTCCCCAACATAGCCAAATTAAATGCCTTCAGATCCTTGAAACCTAGGCATCCATATTTCTTGGGTGCACACAATTTATCCCATGCCTTCCAATGAATACCCCTGTCAGTTCCTGATCCCCACCAATATCGATTCATTGTTCGTTCAATAGCCGCACAGACCGATACAGGCAATAGAAAAACACTCATTGAGAAAGTAGGCATTGCCTGGGCTACACTTTTCAATAATACCTCTTTACCTGCCTGCGTTAAGAGTTTCTTATTCCACGAGCTGATTCTTTGCCTGATCTTATCCTCAATATATGCAAAAGCAGCCTTTTTATTCCTCCCTACAAAAGCCGGTAATCCCAGATATTTTCCAAAATTCGGAGCTTGGGCAACACCTAGGATCTGCGCCACCATCTCCCTATCCCCACTGCATGTGTTCTTGCTATAACAAATACTAGATTTATGGTAATTGACCATTTGTCCTGAGAAGGTTTCATACCTGGCCAAACAATTTTTAATCTCAACTGCCTCATATTGATTAGCTTTAAAAAACAAAAGGCTGTCATCTGCGAAGAATAAATGAGAAATCGGTGGTGCTCCTCGTGCCACTCTGCAGCCATGAATTAACCATTATCCTGTGCCTGTTGAAGTAGTAGGGAAAGCCCTTCTGCACATATAATAAAAAGATATGGTGACAACGGATCGCCCTGCCTGAGACCACGTGTAGGCGTGACTGGGTCACTAGGAGAGACATTTATCAAAAACCTATAAGACACTGTAGTCACGCATAACATAATTAGTTCCACCCATCTCTCATCAAATCCCAAAGCTTTTAACATCCCTTGTAGGAAAGGCCATTCCATTCGGTCATACGCCTTTGCCATATCTAACTTTAAAGCTCCCCAGCCAACCGTTCCACATTGTTTCCTGTTCAGAAAGTGGCCCACTTCCGCTGCTATCAAAATATTGTCAGTAATGAGCCTATCCGGTATAAATGCACTCTGTGTACCAGATATAATACTATCCATCAAGGGCTTCATTCTCTGTGTAATCATTTTCGCCATTACCCTATAAACAACATTACTTAGGGCTATGGGTCTTAAATCTGTTACCAGCTCAGGCATATCCTTTTTTGGTATCAACACAACATTCGTTTCATTTAATGCAGAGGGAAAAGCTCGAGTATTAAGGCATTCAACAATATAATTCGCCAGATCCCCACCTACCACATCCCAAAAGTGCTGATAGAAGCCAGGGTTCATCCCATCTGGACCTGGTGCCTTATCAGGAAACATTGCAAAAAGAGCACTCCTAACCTCATCCACCCTAAAGGGTTGTAATAATGCATTATTATGCTCCTGTGTGACTTTCGGTGTAACTTTCTCAAATAAATCATGTCCATCCTCGGGGTTACTAGAGCAAAAGATATTGGCAAAATAGTCTAATATTACATCATTCATCGCCTCCCCTTCCACCCAATCCCCAGTATTATCCATAATTCTAGTTAGAAAGTTTTTCTTTTTACGGTGAGAAACATACCTATGATAGAATCTTGTATTGGCATTAGCATTTTTCAACTAGTGTTGTTTTGCTCTTTGTTTCCAGTATGCATCCTCCTGGACCTCAACACGGCTCAACTCCTCCTCCAATCGCTGGAATTCAGTCAACGATTCTGAGTCCGTTTGCCCCCTCAACCGTAACTGGTCACCCCGGAACTGCTTAATACGTTCACCAAACTTATGATAGCGATCACCCCCCCAACGAGATAATCGTTTCCCACAATATGTAATGCACTCGTGTAGCCCCTCATGCCTTTTCTCATTCCATGACTCCTCCACCACAGCCCTACATCCCTCATCATAAACCCATGCGATCTCAAACCGGAACTGTTTTCTTCGTACCCTCCCCCTCCCTATCGGGTCATGAATCCCCAGAAAGAGAAAGGAATGGTCCGATCTTCTGGTCAGAATATTAGTCACTCTTGCCCCAGGGACACTATCACGCCAGGTATTTGTGGCCAACGCTTTGTCCAGTCTCTCTTCCATCCACCGATCTGTGCCCTTCCCTTTCTCCCATGTAAACTGATATCCCTCCATCGACAGCTGAGTCATACCACAATACTCAATGGCCTCCCCAAATCCCCGTAAAAGGTAATTAGGATGTGGATTACCTCCCATCTTCTCATGCTGAAATAAGAGATCATTAAAATCTCCTATCATAACCCATGGTAGACTGGACTGAACCTTTAATGACTTAATGAGATTCCATGCCTCTCTTCTTCTACTTCGGAGTGGATAACCGTAATAGCAAGTCATCCGCCAGTTCGGGAAACCAGCTATGCTAATTTCCAAATCAATATAAATTTTTGAGTAACTTATCAGTCTTGCCGTATTGTTCTTCCTCCATAACAAAGCCAAACCACCACCCATTCTTACAGGATCAACATAAAATAACCCTTCAAACCCAAGCTTCACTCGTAACCTCTTAGCATTGTCTCGTCCTACTTTAGTTTCCATCAGAAAAACAAAATCAGGCTTCTTTCGGGACACCATGCCCTCTATTTCACGAACTGTACGTGGATTGCCCAAGCCACGACAGTTCCAGCTTAGCGTACTCATTGGGTCGGGCGGGCCTGTGAAACAAGACCCGCCGCATGCAAGTTTTTTGAACCCGTATTGGTTGCCACCTCATCACCCAACACCATACCCGCCCCCTCCACTTCGGATGTATCAGCACGACGTCGTTTGGATGATGCCGTAACATCCTCCTCCGAGACAGTACGCTGCTGCGCCATATCAACCTCCTCCATGGCTTCCATTTCACCCCCTTTGCCGCCTGCCTCCATCGGTTCTATTCCACCAATCGGTGGCAACAACCATGAAGCACCTACCGGTCTCGGTCCTCTGACTTTCCCAGCCCTCATCCACGGCCCGTACGGGTACAAATCAGGCATAATACCGGACACCCGAGCCTTCACACAGAACTTATCAAGATGGCCTAATAATCCACAACAAAAGCATAAATTATGGAGTCGTTCGTACTTCAGATTTACCCATCCCCAAGACTTATCTCTGCGTATCAGTTTCATTCTCCGCTTTAGAGGCTTGTCCACCGGTACCGACACACGCACACGATAAAACGTTTTCCAGGGGCCACCCACTTTACGATCATCACACCGAATGAACGTCCCCACAAAATTTCCAACCTGTTCCAATATTGCATTTGATGTATACCCCATCGGCAAATCATAAGCCTGCACCCACATATCCACGGTGTCTAGCTTAACTTCCCCCGGCAAAAAACCATCACAGACTTGTCGACATACAAGTGTATGATTTTCAAACGACCACGGTCCCTCTTCTAATACCCGCTTCATATCCGTGATGTGATAGAAGGCGAATAAGAACAAATTAGACTGCAGTTCCGTGACTCGCATCCCCATAACCGGCATCCATGCCGAGGCCATCACTTGTCGCATGTATTCAACCTTAATCAATTTAGCCGTGAGGAATCGTCCCACAACCGAATAAACCTTCTTGCCCTCCTCGTCGACCGGCTGGTAAAGGCCGCCAGCCTCAACGCCACTTTCTTCGTCCTCCAGCTCCATATCACCCCACCGTTCGGTTATCCTCTCCATTCCTTCGTTCAGATCCTGCTGCGATGCTGCTGCCATGGTATCTAGTTGTGATTTGTCCGTCGAAGCCAAGCTATGTTACTCCGAACAGTTGCCGTTCTTTGAAAAATATCGAAACCCTAACTTGGGAGAGAGAGAGAGAGAAAAAACCCTAACTTGGGAGAGAAAAAACCCTAACTTGGAAAAAATATTATTTTAGGGAATGTTAGATTACTGTGAGAGGTCGTTTTGTTCACATAATGTTAAATTGTTGGGATTATTAGATTTCTGTGTTTGGTTAAAATTGAGGTATGTAATATAATCATGCTGTTAAATTGTTAGATTATTTTAGGGAATGTTAGATTACTGTGAGAGGTCGTCGTGTCGTGTCGTTGGGATTAAATGTTAGATTACTGTGAGAGGTCGTCGTGTCGTTGGGATTATTAGATTTCTGTGTTTGGTTAAATGAGAAGATTACTGTGAGAGGTCGTCGTGTCGTGTCGTTGGGATTAAATGTTAGATTACTGTGAGAGGTCGTCGTGTCGTTGGGATTATTAGATTTCTGTGTTTGGTTAAATGAGATTGGCTTGAAGCGATCACTCTTTCCCAGAAGAGTGCTAAGAGTGCTTGAGGCACCTTTGCACCCCATGCACGCAAGAAAAGGCCTCTATGTTATACAATTCAATAAACTTAAAAAGAGCTCTTGTATAAATAGTGGGACAAATCCTCTTCCCATACCAATGTGGGACAAAAGCTCATTTTTTCCCCTTCATTTTTCCAACTTAATGGGTCTACTTTGAGAATCAATATCTCATTCACCTATTATTCGTTTTGAACGTACAATATATCAATCTCTTCGTCTCACTACAAGAATCCGAATCAACTTTGACTCGACCCAAATCGGAAGTGGACCCCACTTATAATTGTACCACAAAATAGCCACTTAACATGTCATTTTATGCCATTTTAAGCTATTTTTTCTAACAATCCCCCACATAAATGAAAACTTGATTTTCAGGGTATTTTGAAATCGGAAACAACTGTGTTCAAACGGTCGATCCCTGCATAGGATAGGTAGGGGGTACCACACCCTTTGAACCTTCCCTTGTGAAGACATGTTTACTCTACTGGTTGTACGGTAAAACGCGATGTCTTTGAACCGACTGCCGTTTGTGTAGACGACAACATATCTCACATAGGAACCTCCCAACCATGCTCTGTTCTCATGAGTGTGCCCGTTATGGTCGTGGGTCACCGTTCCTGGTTCTGCGAGAGTTTCTAAAGAATTGTGCCCAGAATTTGAAGCAACCCTCACTTCTCTCTTACATAGGTGATTCTTTCTCGAGTATCCCACATACTCACATATGTCAGTCGACATTCGAATCATTAAAGCATTAACATGCTAGCCTCGTGCGGGAGTCACTATTTCAACGAGGAGTGGTAGAGAGTCCGAGACACCCACAGTGACACGCTCCATTTCATAATTTAGTTGTCCCATTGAACCTAGGTGCCAGCTAGGTTGGGTATCCACTATAAAACTTTTTAGTCCAAGGGCTTTAGACCCATTCCTCGTGTCAACTTCTCCACAATTTCTTTGCCTAACCCTTTTGTAACACCCCTAATTTTTAAAATAATTGAAGCTTATATAAATAACGCAAACTATCATTAATTATCCCAAACAAAGCATAAAACTATCCATAAGAGTCGGGGTGCTATGCCACACCTAGGTTTGAGAACCTAGATGCACAGGCTAAACTAATCAAGCACATTTAATCCGTAAATCAATATTCAAATACAATCCAAGAAACGCAGGCCATCTACTATGCTAAAGCTAATTAAGCTAAGTCCAAGGTTCTGACTAGTG